CAAGTGGATCGGCACCGGGAAAACGAGGAGTGCCACTTCTCGAGGACCATCAGAAGATGCAGGTGGACCTTGCGAAGGAGAACCGAGATCGAGTGACCCAGATCCAGACGCAGATAGCCATTCTGCAACGCGAGTTGGCCTTCCTGATGCCAGCAGAGGAATCATGAATGATACAAGTGAGAAGTTGAGTTATGAGAACCAACCTTCATTTGAACTTCATACCAGTATGGACACTCCAATCAATGACTTCTTTGCCAAGGAGTTAGCTAACCTGGTGGAAAAGATTGAGTTTCAGATGCAAGAGTTGGCAAACCACTCAGCTGACATTCGGACACGGCACTTAGCACCACGAACCCACAATTCGAAGGAGAGATTGGACATCCTGGAAATCTACTGTTATCCAAACTCCCACCTGACACAGATAGCAAGCCAGATGGGGTTGAAGACCCGTCGATTCACAATCCAGGATGGTGATCTCCGGACCCCTGAGGGTCAGAACAAGCTATGGCAGATCCTGGAAACACAGCAGCCCACACACATTTGGGCTTCACCTGACTGCAAGTTTTGGGGAAATTTCTCCAGACGCAACATGGGCAGAAGCAAACAACTGAGAACCTACATACTGGACGGGAGAAAACATGAAAGACCAAACTTGAGTTTGTGTGAAGAACTATTCCTGTACCAGGTAGAACATGGAAGACATTTTCATTTGGAACAGCCTGTTGGTTCTGAGATGGTAGTTCAACCCGAATTGGAACAATTGAGATGGGGTACTCTGCCAACGGTTTTTGACATGTGTGAAGTGGGTAGGCTGAATTGGAAGGGTGAGTCGATGAGAAAGAGAACGATAGTTTTGACGACCTCCCGAAATTTGCACAGAGCGCTAGACTGTCGATACTGTCGCAAGAAACATGAGCACAAGCAGATTGCAGGACAGGTGAAGCACCTTGGACGGTGGATGCCACTTTCTGCCTTCGCTGCGAAGTACTCGACAGACTTTGCGCGTGCAGTGGTTCGAGCTGTACAGATCGATCCTCAAGAACGTCCTTTAGTGTTTGATGAACTCTTAATTTCAGAAAAAGGACGAGAAGTAGATGAGGTATTGGTAGGGGAGGCATTGAAACGAAGACGACTCATCTCGAAGCAAACGGTAGGAGAGAGGACACAAGAAGATAAAGATTTGGATGACAATCGTAGGATGGACTTTGAAAAGAGAATCAAGATCCTTTTTGGAGAACTGGACAAACTGGCCCCGAGAGTAGGTTCAATTGTTCTAGGACCGGAAACTACTGTTTTCAAACAGGCCCAGGGTTTCTGTACCTTCCGACTAGTACATGCAGAGGTATGTCGAGGGACTGAACGGTTGAGGATTCCCAAAGCGTCGACTCCTTTGGAAGATCTTGTTTTCAGAAAAACCTTTTCACTTCGTCGATCGTCCGGAAATATTGAACAAGTCGGAGAGGAAGAGGAATGGCAAAAGCTGCCACAGCGGCAGCGCATCAGAAAGGGGATTCCGTCGAAGATTACTTTAACCCTGTTTGGTAATAAGCAACCTGAAACGTCCGGCCGGGAAACAAGGAAAGACGACATGATGAGTGAACCTGTGGGGGAGAAACGAAAGATTGAAGATGTTCCAGAGGAAGAAACCTACGTAGGAAAGAGGTCTAGAATGGGGATGGGGGACACTGACTTGATGGAAAATGACCCCGAAAAGAAGGGAGATCCTCAGACATCAGGGGAAGAGTTAGAGATTCCTGGAAGACCACCCCGGAATTTGTCAAGACATGGACCTGGTTACCTGAATCTAGATAGGGAGAAACAAAAGTGGATTCAACAGGTACACCACAGACTTGGACATCCGGATGCCGACACGTTTGTTCGTTTTCTTCGATCCACGAACGCAGAGTCGGAGTTGACGGACGCCGCCCGTGATTACCAGTGTGATGCATGTTCAGAGTCCCGGAAAGGCTTCGATCTTTCAAAGGTTGGGGGGATACATGAGAATCTTGGTTTTAATGACACCATCGGTATGGATGGTGCAGTGTGGACCAATGCTCAGGGAACCCAATTCCATTTCACGCACATTATCGATGAAGGGACACTGTTTCATGTAGCCCGACCATGTGGTAGTGATTCGAGTGCACAATGGAATCTGCTAGAAGATCACTGGTTTAGTTGGGCAGGACCTCCAAAGACCATTTATGTGGACCCCGCAAAAGAATATTTGAGTGAGGCATGGATGACGCGAATACAAGAACTAGGGATCACTCTGAAAGTCTCGGCCCGTGAATCACATTGGCAACTAGGCAGGGTGGAGGCCCATGGATCCATCCTGAAGGGAATGTTGACACGTATGGATCTAGAGGTACCAATCCTAGAAGAGGAGTCATTTAAACGAGCCATAGTCCAAGCATGCCATGCGAAAAACTCATTAACACGGAAATCTGGGTACTCACCCGAACAAGCGGTTTTGGGGTGTGCGACCAGACTACCGGGTTCCGTTACTTCAGATGATAGTGCACTGAGTCATGAAAGAGCGCTAGATGAGGGCTCCAATAAGTTCAAAGAAGCTTTAGACCTCCGAGAATCCGCACGAAGAGCGTTCATTTCCTTGGACAATTCAAACAGTCTAAGACGGATCATGTTGCGGAGAAGTAGACCGGTTAGGGAGAATTTTGAGGTGGGGGACTTGGTTTTGTATTGGAAACGAAAAGGTGGAAACATGAGACGGGAACGAGGACAGTGGTTTGGACCTGCTCGTGTCGCCCTTGTGGAAAGTAGGAAGGTGATATGGTTGGTGCACGCCCATCGTCTAGTTCGAGCCAGTCCACAACAGTTGCGTGCAGCTTCACTTAGGGAATGGAAGATGATCAAAGACACCGAAGAGTTTAGAGTACCAGCCCCTGATTGGGCTCGTAGGATAGGTCACCAGGACTTGTGCGAACTTGATCCAGATGATCTTCCTGAACCGAGTGAACCCGATGTCGAGCGACCTGATCCCGGCGAGACACATCAGGAACCAGAAGATGTTTTGGTTCCTGAGCCTGAAGAAGAAGTAACTGCTCCGTCTAGAAAACCTTCCATGAACGTTGAGGTAGACGGCACCGATGTTCCGGTTCCTGAGGATGATGAATTATTTGGGGATACCATTTTCTTTCAGGAGGTTGTTCAGGGACGGTGTTGGGAAATAGATGTGACACCTGCCTGTGAGATCGAAAGTGCTGGTGGAACACCAGATGCCCTGATTTTGGCCGCTGTTTCTGAACGAAAGAAGAGAGCGGAGATCAAGTTGAAGGAGTTGTCCCAGGAAGATCAGAAACGGTTTGCAGTGGCCAAGCATAAGGAACTTGGCGCCTGGTTGCAGCACAAGACAATTCGAAGAGTATCCCAGGGCAAGATTCCCGACAATGCCATCATGCGTTGCCGATGGCTGTATGTTTGGAAGACAGCATCCGGAGACGAATTACCTACGGATCTGTCGTCTGAAGGAAAGAAAGCCAAGGCCCGTTTGATTGTTATAGGTTGGGAGGACCCTGACTTGGACCAGGTGATTAATGATGCACCAACTCTCTCGAAGGATGGAAGGACCGTTTTGCTTCAAGCAGTTGCCAGTCATAAATGGCCTTTGATTTCTTTTGATATCTCAACTGCTTTTCTTCATGGAAAAGGTGACGGTCGACCCCTAGGTCTAGTTCCGGTTCCAGAAATGCGTGAGGCCCTGAACATGTCAGAGACAGACCAGGTGCAACTGGATGGAGGAGCATATGGCAGGATAGATGCTCCCTTTCTTTGGTTCTGTCAGTTTAGGGATGAACTGAAACGCCAAGGATGTCGACAATCACCTCTCGATCCCTGCGTTTTTACCTACCGCTCCCAGGATGGTCTGGAAGGCTGTCTTGGGATTCACGTTGACGACGGCATTGGCGGAGGCAGTCCAAAGTTTATGGACATGCTACGTAGGGTAGAGAAGAAATTTAAGTTTGGGGCTTTTGAAGAAGGAGAATTCACCTATACCGGGATTCATTTTAGACAGTGGGACGATGGATCGATTGAGTACGACCAGGTTCCCTACATTGAGAAGATACAACCCATAGCTCTTGGGAAGGGACGCAAAGAAGATCCTGAATCCTTGATTTCAGAAGGTGAAAGGACCGCTTTCAGAAGCCTCATTGGAGCACTCCAATATGCAGCAGTACATAGCAGGCCAGATCTAGCAGCCAAAGTAGGAGAGTTGCAGAGTGAGGTCACTAGGGCACAGGTAAAACATCTAGTTTTGGGGAACAAAGTGCTGACAGAGGCCAAGCAGAATCGTGTTTCATTGATGGTGTTACCGATCCAGCCCGAGAGAGTGACCTACTGTGCATTCTCGGATGCCTCCTTTTCATGCATCAAACATACCACGGCACAACAAGGAACCATAATCTTTGCCACGACACCCGAACTTTTGGAAAATAAGAGGTCTGTGGTAGCTCCAGTCGCCTGGTATAGTAAGAAGATTCCTAGAGTTGTCAGAAGTACACTTGGTGCAGAGGCAGCAGCACTGAGCAATTCAGTCGACCGACTTTTGTGGCTCCGGATCCTGTGGGCAACAATCCTCGACCCGGACTGTGATTGGAAAAATCCTGAGGTTTTGTTGAAGAGCCAGAATCAAGCAGGCCTAGTCACCGACTGTAAGTCAGCCTACGACCTTTTGACACGAACAGCGTTGCCACAGTGTTCTGAACACAGGACGACTATAGAGTGTCTGCTGATTCGCGAGAGGCTTCGTGATAATGCCACCGTCAGGTGGGTTTGCTCACAAGCGATGTTAGCCGACTGCTTGACGAAGACAATGGACAGCAGTGCTTTGAGAGAGTGTTTAAGAACTGGCAAATACATCCTTCGGGACGAAAACCACACGTTGAAAGTGCAGCTAGACGGATTCACACGTCATGGAAAAAGGGGTAAAGGCGCAGCTTGCGCACTTTTGACAGCTCAAGGGCCCTGCGGCGAAAATGAGGTTAGACCGATCGGCTCGATCGTGACGCACTCTTGGAATTCTTGCACTGGTTATCTTCTTTAAAGACGAAAAAGTGTGTCACTTTCGAGGCTAGGTGAGCTACGCGACTCAAAAGCTGCATGGAGCGGCTGGTAGGCAAAGGAGAGGTCGCCACCGCAGCGTCAGCTGTAGCCACCATAGAGAGGTGTCCTTCGTCGAGGATGTCACGAAGCTCGTGACTGGGTTTCACTTTCGTGAGGTGATCGGCCCTTTGGACTTGGGTCGACACCCACTTGTACACCTCCTTGATGTCCTCATTGGAGGGTTCGATCTCCTCTGCAGCTTCACGAAGGGCTCCGATGTCAAGCGTGAGCCGCTTCTCTTGGGTCGAGCTGACCGGGCCATCCTTGCACAGGAGGTCGTAGAGGGACCGGCAGTCGGTGGCGTTCGCCACAGGCAGGATGCTAGGGTCCAACTTGCCAGACTGCGTCGGCATGTAGCTTTCGATCAGCATCTCGGCCAAAAGTTCTCTAGTGAACATCGCTGCATCGGTCGAGGCGTCCAAAGCCATGGTCTCGGCTGCAAGCGTTGACCGGCACTTCCTTCTGATCCGGTGGGATCGCCATTCGACCAAATTGGCCACATCGCCCTCCAAGGTGAAGACGTTCGGGCCGGTGAGGAAGATCAAGTAGCCCGCCTGGCTCTTCAGATCATCTGCATTGGCCCAACTCGCGTCGGAAAAGCCAATGACTCTGGCGGACTCTAAGGGGATCTGCCTAAACTTGAGGCACCAATCCTTGGACTTCAGGGCATCTCGGAGGAGTCGGTTGATCTCCAAGAGGTTCTGGACAGTAGGTTGTCCTCCCATGGCCAACGAAGTCCCTGCCGCCAAATCCGGACGTGTCTGTCCGACAAGCCAGTGTAGGCATCCTCCACCACTCTTCAGCTCTGTGACTTCCTGAGCTGTGAGGCTGGAATCTTTCATCAGCACTCTCCACTTCGGCACTGGTGTCAGGGTCAGTGCACGAATGAAGGACTCCTGGGACAAGGTCACAATGCCGTCGCGCTTGGTGATCTCCTTGCCGCCATAGGTCAAGGTGGGCTCGGTGCGAATGTCCTTCCACTCGCCAAAGTCGAACTGGGAGCGCAACGAGTCCAAGACTTTGTCACCAATGCCAGGCTTGCCAGCACACAAAAGGTCATCCACGTGTGCCCCAACAACCAAAACAAGTTCATGGTCGCTGTAGAAGAGGAACACGGCCTTGTCCAAGGTGGACTGCACAAAGCCAAGCTTGATGAGGGAATCCCGCAAATAGCGCCAAAACAACCTGGGGGAGTTGGCCAGTCCAAAAATACCGCGAACCACCAACAACAACTGACCAGGAAGTAGGCCAGGTAGACCTTCACGAGGCTGTCGGATGAACAAGGGGTCCTTCCGCCTCGCCAAAGACTGGTCTCCCTGCAAAAAGGCACCTGTGATGTCAGCACACACCAAAAACCAATCAGCGCAGGCGGCGCTGAGCTGCAGGATGAGCATGAGGCTCAAACGAGTCATGGTCGGCGCGTCTCGCCGGAGCTCCAAAAGATCGGGGTCTTGGTCGCCACGGCATACAAGACGTGCCTTTGGCTTCACTTCCAGCCATGGTGTAGCTGCGCGCTTGTCTCGGTAGCACACCCTTGAAGCCAGGATGCGAGCAGGGTCAAAGTGACTCTCCACATGCTTGCTGCAGGCGAGGTCCAGCACTTCGACAGCCTTGTAGCGAAGCCATGTAGTCCATTCACGAACCAAAGCCTCACGAAACAAAGGCTTCTGCTCCTCCGGGATTGAAGTCCAAGGCAACTCCTTCTCCAAAGCCTTCCGTTCCTTCCGGGTGAGCTGCTTGTCCACCTCGAGAACGGTATGTGCCTCGAAGTCCTTGTTCTTCAGGGTGAGCTTGAAGATGGTCGTACCTGTCCAGGGTTGGTTCATCACCTTGGCAGAGTTGATGACCCAGTCGTCAACATGCTTTGACCATCCATTTCGACCACGCATCCAGGTCGTTCTCCGGGAAGAAAAAGCATCCAAATGAACCGGTAGTCGACGTACATGACCAGGGTCAAAAAGAGCTCGTCGAGGACGTCGGTGGTGTCGGAGAAGTAGACCTCGGTGAGGAAGTAGTTCCCAGTGGTCTTCTCGGAGAACAAGCTCAGTGTGTCGTGCAACTTCAGGTGAGGCGGCAGGTAGCTCGACATCAAGTTGTAGTGGTGCTACTCCTGCTGCAGAACTTGCTGATCCACTTGGAGTCACACGTAGCTTCTTGACAGCTGGTGGCTGTTCCATCGGGCGAATGATGCCCGTCACAGGTGTTCCAGGCGCTCTTGTGGAAGTCTCAGGGGCCAACGTAGTGTGGTCAGAACCAAGGGACTGTTCAGCTTCACCTGGTTCTGGAGATCCATCTTCATGAGGCTCTGCGTTCATGGCCTGTTCATCTTCTTCAGGGGCTCGGTCAAGTAGCTCCTCTTCCGGCTCGAACACCGGCACGGCGTGCACTTCTTCCAAGTCGTCGTCTTCAGGTACTGGAGGAAGTTGTGAAGACCGAATGTCATAGTACTCCTCCGGTGGGTTATCTTGGACTTGTTGAAGCAGGTGTTCGTGAACTGGCCATAGCTCGGTACCAAAAGCTGGGCGGATCTGCTCGCGGGCTGCAAGCACACACTTACCACCAGAAGAGATCCAGAAGTTGTTCTGTTTGGTGGAGCTGTCGCCCTTGTGTGGTCCAATGATAGTACCACGGTACCATGCCGCAGGAATGCGTTTCCCTTTCTGACCTTTCTTCCCCTGCCGATACCGGGCTTCACGCCAGAAAGCAACAATCTCGCCAGGGTCATAGGTCTCCTTCATGGGATGCGACTTCCGAAGTATCGCAGCCCTGACAGCTTCGTTCAATCTGTAGGCTGCCAGCTTCTCATCGGCCAATGCTCGAACACGGTTTCTCTTGCGGAGTTCATCATCGAGCTCCATGGCCTGCAAAGCTTCATACTTGCCGTCGGGGGACAAAATGTCATCAGGCAAGGAGGGGTTTTTTCCAAAGACCCACTGATAGGCTGAGCAGCCAGCGGATCTAATCTTGTCGTTCATGGCAGCTCCAGCTGCACATGCGAGCGTCTTCATGTCGCGCTCTCCAGCCAAGCTCAACTCATCCACTAGCTTAGCGGCTAGGTGTTGGAAAGCACGGTTGTAGGCTTCGACTTCGCCAACTTGCCAGTGAGCAGCTGCAGGAGGGTGGTCCAAAATGACACCGTTGCTGCGCATCTTCTCGGCAAACTCGCCTTGAAAAGCACCATCTTGGTCAACCCACAGCTCTTTTGGGTAGCCGGCCCATGAACACCACAACATGGTCACCAGGTCATAGACATGGCCAGCTTCGCGGGTGTCACACGGCCAAAAGACATTGAAAGACCCATTTGGCTCCAAAAGGTGCAAGAAGGCGTGGTTGTCCTGGTTGGCGTCGGTGACATACACGAAGTCGATGCAGAGCTTGCTGTTGAAAGCGCCAATGACCTTGAAAGAGCTTGGCCTAGGAATCCCAGGCCTCTTGGAACGTTCACATGTTCCACAGCGCAGTCTTCTACTCAACTCAATGGCATCGGGCTCAACTTTTCCATCTTGTATCAAAGCTCTTGTCAGGTCAGGTTGTGCAGGATGGCCCAAATTCTTGTGAACCTTGACTAACATAGGCGCCAACTTCTTCTGCTTGTTGGTCAAAGGCGGTCCAATGAACCATTGCTCATCTGCGTAGGTCTGCTTGGTGAGGACCGGAGACTCCTTTGGTTCTAGTAGGGCACCATCGTCATGGGGCTCAACCGGCACTGGTTGTCGAGGAGGTTCTTGTTGTGGAGCAGGGTCTGCTGGGTCACCAGGAGCGTACCCAAGCACAAAGATAGCCAGGCGCACCGGCTGCACAAAACGTTCCCTTGGTGCCTGAGCAGTCTTCAAGAACTCCGTCTCAAGCACAATGGAGTCGTCGTTCAACAGGAGTGCTGAACAGCGGTGACAATCTTCCAAGCCAGGTCGGACTCTCTTAGCCTTAGGCAGGTGAGCTATCTGGATGTTCATGATCTGCCAAGGGACCAAACGGGCAATCTTGGCGTAGAGCTCGGAGTCCGGAGCAAGAAAGATGCTGGCCTGTGTTTTCCTACCCAACACCTCCATGGCGTCATCGAAGAGGGGGCGCCACTTGTCCTCGGATTTGTCGGCGTCCACGAACCAGGCAGTGTTGGTATCGTCCTTCTCGTTGAGGGTCATGGTTCCAAAATCTTCTTCAACAACAATTCTCCAGTAGGCACGGCAAATTGCATCAGCCAACAAAGGAGGGTAGCAGGCTGAAGCGGCTGTGTTGGAACCTTCAACCAATTCATGGACATGCGAGCCATCACACTGCTTGTCCAGCTCCTCGATGAAGTAGGGGTGAGTGGCAATGAACCTCACTCGCTTCTTCATAGGTAGCCCTGCCTTGCCAGTCAAACCAAACATGCACAAGCAAGAGGTGGTCTCGAAGTACTTGTTGCGAAGTCGTACAATCTCATCTTGCTTTTGCGAGTCTGCTGTGGCAGGGTTCTCAGCGATGGCGTGACCACCATGGTCGACCTGAGTCTTGAACACATCCTCCGTGAGCTTGAGGAAGGGACGGTCTTGTTCTTGTAGTTCTCGAAGCTCATCTTCTCTTCCCTTATAGTTCACATTCCTCTGGAGGATGCTCCATGGTGTGCAAGGAAACTCGACCATAGCCAGCCGAGGTTTAAACCTTCTCAAAGTGGTCATCAACCATCTCCGCATCGATCTTTTCCGAAGATCTATTCCGTAGCGGATGTCGATGGGTTGCAGCACCTTCATCTTCCAAAGTGTCGCTCCACGAATTGTGACCATTGAAGTTCCTCCAAAGATCTCCACGAGGTCAAACTGGAAGTGCTTTCGTGGCCAGCGTCCACCTTGAAGTCGCTGCATGACCATCTTCTGCTGCCATTTGGATGCAGCAAGTGCCTCTCGGGCCATGTGTTTCATCCGCTTCTGCTGACCGGGCTTCAGCTTGGAAGGTCCAGGGGAGCTCAAAGTTCGCTGTAGATCGACATGATGTCGTCCGCTTCCTCGTCGCTGTGGATCAGAATTGAGTCCGCTGCTGGGGCGCGACCTTGAGTGCGCTTCGCTCCACTGACCTTCTCCTCCTTGATGTCCTTTGTCGTGGCCTTCCTCGCCGGCGGCTTGAAGTCCGCTGCTCCATAAACTGCTTCCGTAGAGGTAGGTCGTGAGGAAGACGATGACCCATAGGACTTGCTGGAGGAGACTCCTTTGCGAGCCTCTGGGCGTGCAGTCTCGCCCTTCAACACCTTGCCTCCGGGCTTGTCCCTTGTTCCCACGAGGACCGGGTAGACGGTGACCAGGGTCTGGGCAATCGGCACCTTGTAGTCCAGTCCACGCCAAACCATTCCACAGCTTATGCACTCCAAGAACTTCCCATGGGCGTTGCCAAAGCGTCTTCCATGCTCCACCAGGTGAGGGCAATCCCTCGGCTGGTAGGGGTAGTTCAGGTTCCATGGCAGTCCGAAGTTCTTGCTCTGAGTGGTCACTGGGGGCATGGTCGGTGGCAAGGCCTCCGGATTCCACTCCTCGATCATCTGGTCGTGGGAGATCAGGGCTTCCCCATAGGCCACCAAAGCTGGTGAGCGGTGTTTCAACTGGTTCATCATGCGAGTTGAAGCCAGGCTGCAGACGATCGCCTTGAGGTAGATCATCACCTTGCGCAGCAGGCGGCTCCATCGCAGCCACACAAAGTCGCCTTTGGCTTTCGAATGCCTTTGCATCTGGGGCTGCGGTGCGAGCACGGGATCGTAAGCTTGATCCGAACTCTTCCGCCGGAACATTGAATCTCACAGCTTGGCGATCGATGGGAAGGTCAGGTGACTTGACTGACTTGTCAAAAGATTTCAAAATTCTCTTCTGAACTGAAGTTTTCACTGAAGCTGGGTGCACACGTCTCGTTTCAGCGTTCTCGAAAACGACGTCGACACCCTGTGGTTGCCATGCAGGAAGAAGGGGCCCAACATCCAAACCAGGGTCGCAATCTTTACCAAAAAGAACCGTATATCCAGTCCAGGGCTCCTCATGTAGAAGACGTTGAGGGGCATCCCAAACATCGATCAACTCGTTCTGGTAACCGTGCTTGATGGTGACCCGTACGGACTGGAGTTCATCAGGTTGGGGACCATCAACAACTTCTTCAGGATGAAAACGAGATGTCCTTGGACGGTGGTGGTGCCTAATATAGACCTGAGGGTGATCCAGAAGGTATTCCCACTTGTCGGAGGCAACGATGCAAGGGGTTCTCTCCTGCAAACTTCCATCACAAAAAGGATCATCCTCGGGGCTATAAACATGAGTGGCTGCAAAATTCGGCTGCATGTAGGCTTTTCCTGTGGCCCAAAGGACTCCAGCATAGGCGTCTTGTGAGGCCTGACGGTCCTGCGGCCATCCAGTGACTGGAAAATCATCTACCGCGACCACAAGGTGTCCAGTGTGGTCTACAAAAAGCTCCGCCTCAGTCTCAAGGGCCTTGAGGTAGATCTTCTGTTCTCCGATGTCTACGACTGCGCGAACCAGTCGCAGCCAGTCTTGCCCAGCAAGCCAAGGAATCTTGCCACTCTCAGGCAAAGTGTCGTCCAGCACGGAGGTCTTGATCACCATTGCACAGCCTCCAATGCCAACTGGCATGTGCCACCTGTGGTTCGAAGTTCTGGGCTCTCCAGGTCCAAAACGGTAGGACTCGTTCTCCTCGGTGATCAGGGGCTTCACGCTGTGCTTCGACTCGATGATGCTGGCGACTTGCCTGACTTGGGTGAGTCCACCCACAGTATTCTCGCACGCCGTGTCGATGGTCAAGTAGGCGGTCTTGTCCTTGACCGTGGGCTTCATGCGAGTGTTGCTCAAGACGTCTCTTGGTACTCGATCTCCGCCAACGAGGAACTCCTGCATGCTCAAGTCGTCCTCTGGGAAGATAATCTTCATGGCGAAGTCGTAGTCCAAGAAGCGGACCGGGCCACGAGGACTGGCAGCACTGGTTGTCTGCCGGCTCAAAGTCTTGCGGCTGGTCCTGCGGGTTCCGCCATGCACCAAACCACCACAACGTCTCCTCTCCTCGTACTGCTCATCTGAGAGAGTGGAGGTGTCGCGGGAGTAGATGCTCTCGATGCCCTTCTCATACTCAATGCGGCCACGGTGAGTGGGTACGTGATGAGGTCGAGGTTCGTCGGGTCCAGGAAGTCCAGGATGAAGTTCGTTAGAAACCACCAAGGCCACTCTCACCTTGTCCAGGTCAACCTTGGGCGGTGTCTTGGGGACCGGTTTGAGAAGATCCCAAACACAAAAACCAGGTTCCTCCTCAATCACCGGAAGTCCCAAACGTTCTTGTGCTTCACGAATGGCTTCCGGAGCCGATGAAGTATGGCCTCGGGCCTTCAACCTCTTCTCCTCGATCTGCTTCTGCACGTCCGCGGTCGCGGTGAAGACGTCGAACGGCTTGGTCCTGTCCTCCGCGTTGGCGGCCAGCAAAACCGAAGATGAAGACGAGGGTCTCGATGTAGTACCAGTGTCACCAGTCGCCTTGCGCTTCATGCGGTTCAAGTCCTTGATGACCTCATAGGCGTCATGGGACTGAAGTGGGGCATCTGGCTTCTGAACCTTGGTAGTCGTCGAAGTGGGTGTAGCCTTGCGGCCACTGTTGAACTCTGTGGACTTGGGGTAGGCAGCACGGTCAGTCGAGGTGTCAGCAACATTGCGTTCCGCACCTCCGCCAGTCATCCAACCAGTGTGACTGTCATCATAGTCGGGCTGCCATTCAGTCCAGTAGTCGTCATCGTTCTCCTGGGACTCCTCGGTCTCGTAGTCCAAGTGAGCTTCATGAGCCTTCTTCGGCTGCTTGCATTGAGGATCTCCACGCCAATGGCCAAGTTCGCCACAATCACCACAAGTGGAAATGGCTTTCAGCTCATCCAAAGACATGCCACGGGCTTTGCCCTTGCCCTTGGGTCGCGATGAAGATCGTGAAGACGATGAAGACCTTGTAGAGTCCTTGCCCTTGCCCTTCGACTTGCTGTAGCCCTTGCCACCTCCACCAGAGCGTCCTTTGCCCTTGCCGGACTTGAGATAGAAACCTCGGGCCTTCACGGCCGCTGCAAGCTTCTGGCGGTTCTCTCTGTGGGTGGCGAACACCTCATGTAGTTCACGGGCTAGAGGTTCAGGAAGATATTCAACTTCTGCATCAGCGAGGGACTCGATGGGGTCCTCAGAGACAATCCACTCCTCGAGGTCAACTTCCTCAGTGGAAACTTCAGGCTCCCAATGGCCCTGCGTCTCGTGTGCTGTTCTGCCTTTGCCATAGCTGCTCCGACCATCAGACGGCTTGTCATAGGTCGTTCGGCCGCGATTGACATAGGTCTGGGGGTAGAGGAGGTCAACAGCAGCTTTGACCTTTTGCCATTCATAGTCTCCTCCTGTCCTCAGGAGGATGTTGGCTTGCCGCTCCATGGTGCATCCGGCCTGCTCAAAGAACTGGTAGGTCATGATCTCGTCGGGGATCTGCAAACCAGCTTCCCTGCAAGCGCGGGCGGACTTATCCAGCAAATCACACATCTCGGTGAGCGTGGTGTTCTTCTCCGTGAGGCTCATCTTGAAGAAGCCGCGAAGTGCTCCTCCAATCTTGTGCATCTTGCGCTCATCGAACTTCTCCTGCAGCACCTGCAGAAGGACCTTCCAACCTTCAGGGCCTCCGAAAGTGCGAGCTGGGATGTTCTCCAAGTACTCGGCCGCTTGACCTTCCAAGGCACTATGCAACCGAAGTCCGATCTCGCTCTCGTCGATGATCTTCTTGGAGATCTCCACATAGCTATCAACCTTCTGGAGCCACTGCTTGAAGACCTTCGGGTTCTTCTTGCGATCACCATCAAAAGGTGGTGCTGGAGGGAGGTTTCCTCGCGGTCGTCCACGAGGGGCTGAGTCTTCAGCCTCTGACTTGCCAGACGAAGGTCGCCTTCTCGAAGGGCTCGATGATGAAGTAGAGCTCTTCTTGGGAGTGCTGCCACCAGGATCTCGGCGATGAACTTGTCGCGGTCCATTACGTCCAAGGCGTCCACGATGTAGTTCATGCTCTTCTAACTGCTGCTCCTCATCTCTCAACAGCTCTTCTTCTTCCTCGCCTTCCTCACCCAGAGGGCTCTCTAAGTGAGGGTAGTCAAACTCCGCTGAAGTAGGAAGATCACCTTCAGGAAGTCCATCATGTAGTTCTTCCTCATCATCATGAGGTCCAAACAGCTCAGCAGCTGCCGGCATGGCAGAAAGCGAAAGCACGAGGATCGCGGTGCTCCGCTACCAATGCAGCTAGACGGATTCACACGTCATGGAAAAAGGGGTAAAGGCGCAGCTTGCGCACTTTTGACAGCTCAAGGGCCCTGCGGCGAAAATGAGGTTAGACCGATCGGCTCGATCGTGACGCACTCTTGGAATTCTTGCAGAAAGAACGGCTAACTGCTCGGGAGCGACTGAAATGGATCAAGCAGCATGGATCGACAACAACTCGATCATCCGAAGAAGCCATGTTGACTGAACAGATCGGCAAATCTATGCATGAGGAGGATTTTTGGAAAATGGGTCCAAAGGGAGAACTCATTCGGGTGCACGTGAAACCAAGATATCAGTTGTTTTCACCTGTCGGGGTTGTTGACTGTCCTGTTGACTTGAGAAAACTCGAAGTTTTTAGGGACACCTACCAACAGGGGTGTGCAGGAGAACGCAGCTACTGGGTGGGAACATGTGCACATCGAAAGACTTCCTTCCCATGGACCGGCGAGACAGTCTTTTACAAAATAAAAGAGTAAAGGGTGTGTGAAGCTCACAAGCTTACCAATCAGATGTCTCGCATGACGACCTTTTGATCGAACCTACCGAAAGGGTGGGTGGGTGGACCGAACATCGTCGACAAAGAGCGAGGCCGCTTGGACAAGAGGACAGGGTTTCCCCAAGGTTAGGATCATTCAACTCCAGGGTGAGATTAACAGTGCATATATATATATATACATTATTGCATATATACAATATGATACGTACCTCGATCCTTGTTGAGGTACTGAAAGGCCAGCCCATTCTGTTTGACAGCTGCCAACAGCTCGTTCTCCACTCCCGACTTTGCTGCCTGATGATTCCTCCAATACTGGCTGTTCACGAACTCCAAGTTGCTTTGCGTTTTTCCAGATGACCGCAAGCGGCCAGTGGTCTCTGCGGAAGTCATCGGCAAAGGCATGGCACTCACTTTCGATTGGGATCCAAACAAAGCTAGGCCTGACCGCCTGACCGCTCTGTCATCCATACAAGCTTGTATGGCGGCAGGATCATGGGACAGAGATCATGAAACGCATAACATCAGCTGACACATCAACTCCATTCATCGAAGACCCACGTCATACAGTACTACTTATCAAGATTTAGTTGCCAAGGTTGCCTTGCAAGACTTGAACCCCTTGCAAGCAACCTTTGCCGAACTGTGCAACACCCAACTCTATCCAACCAGACACGATGTGGCACCTTGCACCACTGCTCTGTCCAACTCCGGCTCAGCAAGAGCTCGTGCCATGGCCAGCCAGGCCAGCCGTTGAAAACCGTCCAGTCGCTGCCACCGCCGCTCGCGCCCTGCCTGGCGGGGAAGAGATAGTTTCGCAGCTTCCGGACCACAAAAAGCAGTTATATATGTAAACTTCTGCCTCAAGTGCAAGCAAGTGCCAACCAAAAAGAAAAAGGAAGTACAAGCTCACAAATCCATTTACAACGTCTATCAACATCTATCCATATTTCTCCGAGATCCTTGTCCTGATGCTGTCGAGCTGCCCAAGGTGCTACAGAGCCGTGGAAAAAAACGGAATGCTCTCCATCCATACCTGTAGTTGCACCCAGCAACGTGCTGGAATCTCCCAAATCGGTTCAGATAGTTCCCGTGTTCAGCCACTGAACCCTGATGAGATGGATTCATCAATCTCAGAGTCCCAATGCACCTGGACGTGGAATCCGCAATTGCGATTCCCCACCTACAGTAGATGAATCCTGCTACACCTTTTTGAGTTGCCCACCCCACACTCTGTCGGCCAAGATTCAAGTGGAGATAGCACTAGAATTTCCACCATAGCCTGCAATGATCAAGCACGTTGACACTGCTCCTTGATGGAGAAACATGCAAGTAGTTCGGTGGATAGTCTGCACAATAAAGCAGTCAACCACTGTGCACTAGAAAGACTGCTACATACCTTTGCACTTGAGGCAACCGTCCCCAAAAATGCCTTCTCAACCTGAGTGGCAAGCGGACAGAAGCGCTGGCATGTTGAACTTGAATTTGCATGAAATAAAGCAACATATGTGGAATCTGATGGCGTCGCGCCTGATACGCGGCCAGAAACTGTGCGCTTTGTCACAAATGAATGTTGAAGTGCATCCGAGGGTGGCAGCCTGGACAAACACCGTCAGTGAACCACCTTCGGTGAATTTGTCCTTCAGTCATCAATATCAACCTTGATATGAACATGATGGCGAAGTGCATGCACTTTCGATGATGTAACCATCTGTAACCCACAAAGAAGAGTACAACATCCACACCTTTGGCTAGGTGTGACTTTGAGCAGCTTTTCCACGAGGTCACGAGCATCGGGGTGAAGTCCCTGCCACCTGTCCAATGGGCCAAATAGTGGCAGAAACACCGGGAGACAGGATACACAACAATGCGCAACGTGATTCTGAGGAACTTCACAGGATAATGCTTGATGGAAGAAGTCCGCTAAATCCTACGACTGCTGAACGATTTCACTCCTGCAAAGTAGGTCATCAGCTAGGGTGTTTCTCACAGCTTCATGTCAAGAAAGCATGTGTGTCCATCTCTGTGATTTGACTATAGAACTTCTATGTGCAAGGAACCAGGTGGAACCAGGAAGTTGTACAAAACCATGTTGCCCGCGTGCTGTGCCTCTCTGTTCGAGCATTGTACCTGCCATGCGCCACAAGCCGCAGCACTTCCTTGCGCAGGTGGTTCAAGTGACTCCCTCTAGTGCTTGTTGCTTGAAGCAGCACATCGTACATGCTGCATGCGAAAGGTTCTGAGCCTGCCTGGTCCTGAGCTTCCTGGGTTTGTTGCTTCAAAGCCTGGTTGAAGGGATTGTGGCCCACCAGCAGAAGATAGAGCACCTGGAAAGTACAGCAAACACATGACATGTGAACCTGATGTAAATCAAATCAAGGCAGTATCAGTATCATTGAATTTAGACGGCGTGGTCTGAACAACCCCCTTCCATGCATTGTCTTCAGCGAGAGTTGCAGGGAACCTTTCAATCGTCTGAGTGGTGGCTTGCTGAAAATGCCCACTGCTGTGTTTCTAGAGCTCCATGGCTGCACGACTGCAAACCATGCCTGAAGTCCAACCAAACAATCAGCTCCAAAGCTGTGGTACGAAAGCACGATCCCATCCAAACCAACCCGGTTCAAAGGAGTCTCATTTTCCAGATGGATGGTTATCGTGCAAATCCCAGTTCTCCAAGCTGAGGATTCAATCCCAGAGTTGAGGCCCAGGCCACACCGGCACTCCACATGTCACTGAGACCCTTGATGGGCTCGCCATGCTGGTCCACCGCCAGAGGCTCTGGCTCGATGCCCTCAGAAGTCACATTCAAGAGAGTTACGGAGACGTTTATATGATCGACGGGTCAAAATAGTACTAAACCAAAAGGTAAATTTGGACCGTACAAGTGCCTCAGAAAACTGTCACATCCACACTTCCAACCAGCTGACAGGTTGAGCTGCAGCAAATCATGGAAAAATGCGAGAGCCGGAAAGTCGGAAAGCATTGTACACCGGGGGACCATGTGCTCATTAAACACAGTTATCACAATTTACAATGTAAATATATTCAAACATTAAGCATTTCACCGGGTTCCTTGTCTGGTCGTGCCTCCACCGGCGGGTTCAGTTCAGGCGGTGCATACCACAGAGAGCCAGCACCTCGTAGGATTGGAGCAACAGTATGTCTCAGGTCGTGGAGATCTGTATCTGAATCGGCCTTTGCTTTCTTTCTTTGTAAGTTTTTTGTTTAGCCCGCTGCCCCCCCCTCCCTACTTAATTAAGTAGGCGCCTACTTAATTAAGTAAGGCGACTTGCTGCTGGACCCAGGATAGCTCGCACTATTCATTTGGTTCCTAGATTTTTAGGAAAATCAATCTTGACTCATTGGCCAGCAACATCTCAATTGCTATCGAAAAGTGTTCGCAGGCTTTCGCGAGGACCAAGCACTAAAGTCGTTGCCGCCCCTGGCCTGTCGGGGGTGGCTTTGTCGCCTTCCCCTCTGGTGCTGCAATGGCCGCCCAGCCGAAATCACCAAGCTTCAACTCTGCTTGGAAGGCTGAAACCTCCATCGAAAGGGATTGCTGAGACAAAACGAGCTGAAAGGGGGAAAGGAGACAAGGTCAAGCAAGCATTGAAGCTGGAGTTCGTTTGCAAGCTCGCACGCTGCATTACTCAGTTCCCAAAAAGGTCAGCAAAACACAATTAACATTTCGCATTGGGCCAAGGTGAGACGAACCAATGCATGTTTTTTTCAAGATTTTCCTATACAGCATTGACTTCAACGAGGCACGGCCACGTCAAAGAGCATCATATTTTCAGGCTTCACCTTGGTGTGGAACACTTCGGGGAAATCATCCATCTCTGCGTCTGCGTCCCTTCACAATCTTGTGACTCATATTTGGAGCATCAGACGTTTGTCCGAGCGACAGGTTTACTGCGGTGTGTCTGATTCAACCGTTCAATGGTGCGCTTGTTCTTGGGAGGCACCGAAGGCCTTTCAATGCGAGTAGTTGGCATTAGTTGTCTACGTATGCTTAACTTAACTTCAAGCCAATGATTTCTTGTGCTATCACAGCCGCTATGCTACTTGGATCCACAAGAATTTGGAGCCTCTGCTCAGAGCTTTTGACACAGGATACATGTTTGTGGCCTTGTTCACTCAACTGAAGAGGTACCTGACTGACCTGATCCCTAATTTCTATATCGCTATTCATGCACGTTCATCTGGCAACTTTACAAGGCCCTAGGATAACATGTCGGGTCCTTGGGCGTCCCCACGTCTTGGTGCTCGACGCCGCAACTGCTCAAGTGCTGCAACGCGAGGAAGAGCTGGCGAAGAAGCCGCGCTACCAGACGTTCTGGAAGGCCACCCTGCAAGAAAACGCTTGGATGCTCTAAACTGCAATAAGAAGTAAAGACTACCCAACGTAGCTTAACAGCAATTAGTAAAGTCAAAACTGCAATCTTGAGCAACACCAAGCTTGTCACCAAGTGTGCCCACAGGCATCCAGTCAAAAAGAAGCAAAAGAACAATATCTGCGTCCATCAAGCTGGGAACTTGCCTTGGGGTGCTCCCGGGCGTAGAGGTCGTAGAGCGTGGAGCCATCGCAGTATTCAAGGACCAAAACGTCTTCACGGTTGAAGCCCTGACAACATCGACTGGACCGTCACAAGGCGAAGGTTGGGAACGCTCAGTCGAAGGCGGAGCGAAGCTGATGACTGGAAGGGTGCAATGGCACGCTCACATGCGCAAACCGCACACATTCTGCGCCAAGGAGCTTGGATGATGATTCAATAAACAAATCCAAATCCGCGTCCGCACTGTCGAATCGGATGGGGCAATCAGGGGGCTATATCAGTTAAAGCAAGATATTTTTCAGTGCGCCTGATAGCTCTCCAGCAAGCGAAGAACGTTGGGATGGGTACCCACCTGTGAGGCCAAGGGTGCAGTCTAAGGGACAGGGTGCGTTGCAGTAGGTGCGAGTGTGCCATGGTCGTGTGCCGCAGGGGTGTGCAGGTTACACAATGGAATGGTTTTTTGAGGTGGGAGTCAGACTGGTTCTGAGTTTGAGGTGTCAAATCAACCTTCCGTTTCTGCGCTCCGCACGCGTTTCAAGGCTGTGAGCTCTTTATTGAACCTCAGCCAAGGCGACATAGAAGGAGATAGAGGGTGGAGTGCAGCGGAGCAGCATAAACCTACGCGTGGACCTCGCCTTGTGAAAACAAACAGCTGAAAAAATGAAACGCACTTTCCAGAGAAACAACTTGCCACGAGAAATGACTCAAATGTGCCACGAGAGGCCGAAACGATTCATGGTATAAACGATGGAGCTTTTCTGCGGAGTCACGTGCGACTGCCAAGGCGGTGAAAGCGCTTGATGGCTACCTGGCATCGACATGCACCAACCATGTAAATACAAGTTCTAATGTTAAGTTTCCCTAAAAATCTAGGAACCAAATGAATAGTGCGAGCGCTTCGAGGAAGCTCCCCCTCGCCACCTTTAGGGCAGCGGGGGGAAGAAGCGTGAGCTATCCTGTGTACTAGTAGCTACTTAAGCTACTAGCTACACCTCTCCCTCCTACCGACTCCCTAGCTAACCTACCTCACCTCCACAAGCGGTCTACACCCCGCGGTCTTAAACAAAGAACTGAAAATGCAAGTTCCTTTACGGTAGAAGCAAAAGTGCTCTTTTAAACCTGCATCGAGCATGTGGAAACCCCATTCATGCTGGAAATCACCAACCTTGCGGCCATGCTCACGGAGGCATTGTGGTATGCTAGCCTGCGCCAGATTTGCGGGCCACTTGTGGACTTGAGATCCAGAAAAGTGCACATCATCGGCACTAGCTCGAGATAAATCCCAACAGACCTAACCTATAAATGACTGTTGATTCTCAATGCAGGAACGTCTCGCTCCCTACTTCAGTGTCCCAGCCGTGACAGCTCCACAGGTGCTGAAAGGCATTTGCTGTGCCTAAGCCATCCGGTGAAACCCAAGAAGCTGTGCCCAGTCACTTACAGTAAAAACAAGTTGTGGCTTTGGATAGGTATTGGCTTGGCTGCCGGACAGTCTCAGTGGTTTCCAGGTCAGCTAGAGCCTGCTGAAAGGGATGTGTTGCACAAACAAGTCTCAGGAAATAGTATAAGCTGTAGCAAGAAGGAATTGTCAGGGTAGACAGTCTCATCAAATCAAGTTGGATTCAAGCATATCTGGAATGGGCAAATGAAAAACAAGTCAGAAGTCTGACAGAATGGTGGAAGCCAACCAAGGAGTTTGGCTCCATTTCTGTTGCCATTTGCAGTGAAAGGTGGGGACTGAGTTACCAAATCGCGTGCCTCTGCTTCAAAGACTTTGGCTGAGATTCCATCCCCCAAGAGGCGGCCCAGAGAGTAGACTTTTGTCCATCCCTGCATCTCATCCTGCACCGGGGCGAGAAGGGGAAGCACGCATTGACTTTTTTCAGGATCTTCACACTTCCTTACAGTACTACGTGATTACTTAACCAATTCATCATATGCATCGCTTCGTAACTGAAACGCATCATGCAAGTTCTCCTGCTTAGAATTTGAAGAGAGACAGCTTGCGGCTTGGGGGATGCTGGTTCCGACTCCCCTCCATCCTGCTTGGTCCCAGCTCTAGGTGCCGTTGTGCTGGAAGAGATCTGCGCAGCTCGGCAGTACTTCAGTGAAAGTGGACTCTTGAAAATCAATATCATGGGCAGCATGGGCCTAGGTGGCCTAGCTGCTTACTAACTCATCATAGCGATGGCCTCCGACTAATAGCGATGGCCTACAACCTAATGGCAATATGGAAACAGCAATGGAATGCAAACCTTTAAGCTGGAGATGCTGTGAACCGATGGCTTGGTCCAGGCCTGGAAGGCATTGCAGTGAAAGGCAACCCAAGGCTCGTTCTCGAACCTGGCCACGGGTGTCGTGCACGTAATGCCCAGTCCGTATGTATCGGTGGTTGAAACTCTGTCTTAGGATCCAGTGATGGCAAGTTGCGTGTAGCTGCGTAAACGCGCATGTCAAATGCATCAAACATGGTGAAACAGTTACTGTCGAACTGACACGTTCCAATCAACTCTATGTCCAAAATACTCGTACATTAAGAGTTCACAGCCGATGATAGAATCAAAAAAAAGAGTCCGGCCCAAAGTCCCGCTTGTGACCAGTTGTTGCTTAAACAAGACGAGTTCAGAAGGCTCTGCCCCAGGCAGAAAGGTGATACAAAAAAAGGTCTGCTCAAAACTCATCAATGCTCATCATGACTAAAGCATATTCCAAATGTGTGTGTGTGTGCTCCGACCTGGGTCGCACAGGCACAGAGGGCTTGGGCGCACCCTGCTCGGGGAATCGATGAGCACCAGTCTGACAGCTTTGACAGCTTTGGCCCATGGCTACAGAGGAAAAGTCGAAGAAGCTTCGCCACACTGCGGATATTGCAATCGTGCTTCCCAGCTCTAACTCCCTCTTTGCTCTCATCTCACGACAGGTTTGTTTGGCGCAGGTCGTACCTTAGCAGTACAGAAATCGCCTTGATGGCATTGCTTGCTGAGGTTGGGTGCCCCCAGGCCCTCGTTTCTGCCTTCGAATCTCTTTTTCAAGGACTTGCATTGCATGGCTGTCCATATCTACTGGAGCCAAAAGCTATGCCAGAGAGAAGTCGGGTCACAAAGGTGTTTCATGGTGGTTTTTGGGTTGCTGGTGCAGCAAACGGCGAATGTGGATGGAAGCAAAGCAGAAAAACCTCGCTCAACCATCTACAAACTGAGTCAATCAAGCCGCATGCGCTCTCAAACCCTACGTCAGATGTGTATTCCACCCGCTCTAGTGAGGGTGCTTCATTACACATGTTGCACAAGTGTTTGTCCCTCATGCTCAATCCGGTCAGTAACTGTTCTTTTGTCCGACACCCGCATTCAAACCTTCAGAGTCCATTGGCCAATCATTCTCCTGCAATGGTCTTCCGTTTCTCAGACACCGATTTATGTTTTGCTACATGCTGCAAGCACATGGTGAACAAGTCCTACTAGATACTACTTTATGAATTCCAGGGCACGAAACCCCCTTCATGTCCTTGAGAAGAAAACAGAATTCCGGAAGTGAGTCACCTTGAAAAATAACAGCATCCCCAAATCCAAGCATGAAAGTTGCGTGTCTTGCATCCGAATTGTAGTCATCTTCTCCACAGGAGTTCTGCCATGTCTGAAAGCAAAGGTGGTTTCAACCCCAGTCCGAAATGCCCACAGAGGCACACAACCGAGCATGACATCAAATACCTGTCTAGAGTCTAGAAAGAGCTGGGCACCCCAAAAAGAACGAACCAAAGAATACACCTTGAACGCACCCAAATGTCCATGCTCTGCTCCATGGCACCTGCATGCGCTGCACCAACGCAGCCACTGCCACATCTGCTCTCCGCTGCACCTTGCAGAGTTGAAGCACGTTGGATATTTGCATATTAATCTTTTCCTTTGGACGAATCTCTGATAGTATGATTGTCTGGACATAGCTGAACTGCCCCTTGTGTAGGTCGGCAACCATTGTCGCACAAACCAAGCCATATCATATCAAATGTAACCAATGTAACAAGTCATGCACTTGTCATAGGCCGTCCGGGCATAGGGCTGTTGGCACGTGATGGGCATTAGCACGCATTAGCTTCCATTGATGAAATTACTGTATCTGGCAGGCCAGGTTATTTTTGCAAAGTTCATCAAGCTCATTGTTTGATACAAAATCCTTGTGGGTAGGACCCAAGCGCTTTGTTTTTCATTCGACGTAGACGTGAGCTGGCAGCGACCCTGCAGCGGCACCGGCATCCAAGCTCAAAAGCCAACACGGCCATACATATCTGGCACCACACAGCCACGCAATCTGGCAGCAGCATACTGCAGCGGCACTCTGCACCGACACCGGCACCCAAGTTCCAAAGCGCGCACAGTCATAAACATCGGCAGCTGCACTTTGCAGCGGCACCAGCACCCAGCACCCAAAGCGCACACAGGCACCTTTTCCTAATTATACTTGAAGCAAGAACCCCAATAGCTCTCGCTATCTCAGGAATTATCTGATACTAGCTGGTGTGAAATCATGCTCTGATAGGCAGTTGGATGGTTTTTTGCCCAATATAAAATGCTCATGATCATGATCGTCATTTCCCCAAATAAACCACCGAGCACTGCCAGTTCTGCAGATTTCCGTGCCTGCTCAGCGGCGGCCTCTGCACGCTGCTCCATACGCCGCGCTTCTAAGAGCACGGCGCTGAGGTCAGCGCCCTTTGCCTCGAAGAAATGCATTGGAATTTGGTGGAATGGATGCCAATGGTTTGAATTACAGTAGCATGGTTCAATAAAAACCCTGCGTATACTGCTGTAAACTGTTTGCGGTATACACTTTGTGTCTGGCTGCCTGGCAGAATTTCCGAGAAGAAGGCTTGTATAGGCTTATGCATTCTGATGCTCGTCTTGGGAACTTGTAGCAGGCCAGCTCCCAAAAGTAGAAACCCAAAGAAAGATGCTCGGTCTTTTGTCTATGCTTGGATCTCCTGTAGACAGCCACTACTAGCCCCACTGCTTAGGCAGCTTGACATGGCCCTTTGACACCTGGACATGCCTGGCCAGCCTCCAAAGCATCAACTCGGAGAGAAAGCTTGCGAACGGCCTGCACAATCTTGGTTATTTCTCTGTTGATCTACATGCCCGCGCATCTCAAGGCCAAGGGATCAGAGTTTGTTCTGCAAGAAAAGGCAGGAGACATGTAGATATCAATAGCGTGGATGGTTCATCTGACCACGCATGCGGGCACCAATCAGGCTGACATGGAGAAAGTATAGGATCAACAATCACTAGATTCGGTACATAAAAGAAACTGACAACTTGTCTTGTATCAGGAGCTTATAGGAGACACCACAAGCTTTCGGCCTCCTCCCTCGAAGCATCAGCCTCTGAGAGGCGACGCAAGTGCTCGCGCTCCGCCACCTCTACGAGTTCACAATGCGAGATGTTGAAAGGACGTCTTGCGCGCTAAGATGTAGCATTGAGCCGAAGAAACAAAGTTTAACAAGCCCAAGTCAATCCGCAACTCCAATTCCATGTCAGACATATTAACAATATACGTCATGCGCATATCAATACGTATTGAGCTCGTGAGCTCGTGAGCACCTCCAGGTTGAGCTCTGCACGAACTAGTTCACCTCAGAGAGCACTGCGAGATGCTTCGTGTCAGTTGGTAGAATCTTCCAGAAATGACTCAGCTGACCTGACAAACCCCGAAAGACCCTACAAGGCACCTGTACTTGAGGGGCTCAAGACACCATGAACATATGGCTTTCAAGACAGAAGCCGTCGTGAACCCACTCTTGTGAATCAGCGCTCTTGCCTCCCCTTTGCAGTCGCAGGGCCTACATCCCTCAACAGACTGGTGAGAAAGGCTTGTAGTTTCTTGCTCCTAGTAGTACGGCCAGGAGCCCCTAGTAGCGTCTTTGCTCCTAGTAGCGATGCCAGGAGCCCCTAGTAGCTCCTAGTAGCGATGCCAGGAGCCCCTAGTAGCTTCTTGGGCCAACAAGTCGCAGAATGTCGGCCCAAACAAAGCCTGTGGTTCCATACTCAGATCCTGCACGGCGATGGCCTGCCCCTCAAGGGTCTCCATCACTTCCTCAGTCCAGAGATCTGAGCCATGCGCCATGTGTGCCTTTCCACAGCTCCACCCACTAAATTCTGTCTACACCTGTTTTGACTGCATGTGCTGACTGCAAGCAATCGAGCAAGTTTGGCACAAGAAATCGATCTGTTGACGAGACTCAGGTTGAATGAGGTACTTATCGAACAAATGGCCAGGCATGTCAAAAGGTGCAGAACGCTGCATTCGTTCTTCTTCATGACTCATGGCTAAGTATCATCCAGCCAAAACTGGCAGAAACGACACCTTCAGCCCTTCAGCCTTCAGCCGCAGTACTTTGACAAGTGGCCAGAAATCTGCCGGTGCCGATCTCAGCCTCGGCTGAGAGCATCTTCCTTTCCCATATTGTCCTCTATGGGCTAGGAGAATGGCTACGGCTAGTCCAAAACCACCAAGCTTGAATGGCACCCAAAGCCAAGCAAGGGATAGATCCAACAAGTATGGTCAACTAATGAGAAACAAGTATATCAAAGAGGCAATGTACTGTTGCACGCCACCGCGCCACGTGTACCGCTGCAATGTCATGGTGATATCAGCACATGCAAGCGCAGTACTAGTCTTAGTACCACATAAGCTAACATTGGGACAGTTCTGCTTCCAAGGTGCCCGATTGCGATCTGAGATCTCCTGGTGGAGGTGGAACGACCCTGTTCTTTTCAGTCGCAATACACTCCAAGTGTGCGCTCATGTCATTTCCACTTACAAGTAAAGACTGGAAAAATCGTCTGCCCGGGTTCTACCCTCAACCGACATCAATACCTCCAAGAACAACCGCCAACTTATGCGCGTTACATCTTGCAAATACTGCCATGTTTCGCGCGCCTTGCGAATTTCTTTGGCCTTGACAAGCTGTGACCTTCAAATTGAACATCCAGCCAACTCCAAAGCGACTGAGGTTGAGGGCGCTGTAAGGTTGCATCATGTCATGACCTTCTGAGTGGATGGCGAGATCTGACATGTTCAACTCATGAGCTCACAGGAGATGCGCACTTGGAGCACTTGGCATAGCCAAACCCCCAACCAAGCTGCCGGGCCAGCAGGCCATGGCTTTCCGCAAGGAGGCCTCGCACGAATTCACCTGCAGCTCACAGTCTGGAAATTTGAGGTCGCAGGAATGAGGCTGAGTCAAAAATGAGTCAAATACACCTTGGAGGGAGCATCCTCAAAAGCCCTGCTAAACCGCATCTTTCTTGCAAGGGTTTGAAAGGTATGAATCAAGGTGCTATTCTTAACTTACTATCACTTGGTTGGCAAAGATTTGATGCCACATTCTTTCTGTTCTTGGTGAACTCTGTGCTAAAGCATGCCCCTCCTGTGTCAAGCGCTTTACAGCGCTGAAGAGCGCTGACAAGCGAAAAGTGTGCAAATCTAGGCCTAGGCGGTGCCGCCAACATCAAATGCAAAACAAAGAGCCAAACCAATGAGTTCTGACCCCCCAGTTACGTCGTCAGCGCCCCAACCCAGTTCTCAGAGATCCTCCTTTGGGCTGCAAGGAAAGCTGACGTTTAAGACCTGTCTGATTACAGTCGTTTTCCATTGGCTTTCCTACAGCTGTGTACTTGTTACTGGGACTCCTTCCATGCACCGGAAACAAACACTCTCAGTCTAGACACGGGTAGGCCATCGCAGTCCCATCAGCCACCATGTCACTGTACACGTTTCTGTGCCACAGGGTCCAAATAAATACCTTCCCTTGGGCCTTTGGAAAAAGCTTTCTCTGTGGTTGAGATCCCCCACGTTGTGCTTCCACAGGCCTGACGACACTGTCGTCGGACACTCGGCTGCTCACTCCCAAGCACCATGGTAGAAGGATAAGTCGATTGACATCCTAGGACTATTGAAATGGATCTGAGAACACTTCAGTTTCGGAAGCGATGTGACCCACATAAGCTCCGAATCTGCAACTGGCCATCCGCCTTTGCGCGCGTAAACATGCGGCCACCTGGCCAGAATCATTCCCTTTCACTCTGCTGGGAATTGCAGGGTACAGGGTCACCGAACATGGAGTGTTGGCAAGTTGCACTAATATATACTATATATATATATGTGTCTATGTCTTGTCATGTCTTGTCGCATGTCCCTCAAGCATCATGTGCAATTGAATAAACAACGTCAGTTCAGGACTGGTGTCCCACATGTCAAGAAGATTTTCCTTGAGGCGAGCGTCACTTCATCAAGGCGAGGGAGCGCTCATGAGACACCCGCAAGTTACTGTAGCTGGGAGGCACCTCCCACTTGAAGCTCCATTTTTCCAACGAAAGGCCCAAGCACAAAATATTACACAAGGCAAATCAAAGGCAACGATGTCCCTCTTTCCATGAACGGAATTGCTGTTTTGGGCATCAGTGTATAACATGAAAAACGCGCAAATGACAGGGCCGTTCGTTGACACCTGTACACGTTGGAAGGAAAGACGAGAAAATGGCTCACTGGCAGCTTAGCAAACGAATTGATCAGCTGCTTCTCCTGAAAACCGGATGTGCATGACTCCAGAATATGTTGAATTTAGAAATCCCGATATTCCTGTCTTCACTGTTTTTGAGCAAACAAGTTGGAAATCTACCTTTGCCTTTGGCTGCCAGTTGCTTCCCTCTTGACGCTTTTGTCTCTGGGTGGCAACTTGAATCCTAGCAAGTCGTAAATGCAGTATGAATTTGGCAATGTTCATGCTGGTACATCTACCGAATGCTCCTCAGCCGAACAAGTAATTCATGGCGCAAGGAAGCCAAGTGTGTCCCCTCCCTTTTAACATGGCAAATAAGAAAGCGGCACTCGAATGAGGAAAACAGCAAGGATGCTAAGGCAGCCAAGTGTCGGCCGAAAAGTGGTCAACGAAGGCCAGAGACAAAGTCCATGAGTGCTTGCACAAGATCCTGCACCAAGGTTAGAGTTCTCCACAACTTGTCGCCATGCCATGGGCTTCTCTCCTTTTGCTATACAAATACTGCAACCAAAGTCCGAGTGATGCTCCGATATTGGTGCGCATGGGCATGGATGTGTTATCTTACGTCTCTCCTTTCATGTCTTTCGTCTCTTTTGTCTTTTTACACGGATTTCCAATGCACTCTGTGCGAAGTTCACACGAAACCAAACATCTTCAACCCTCGGCGTGCCACAGAAGGTCGGTGGCATAAGCGGCTGCAAAGTTCTTGCCCATCATGGATTCCAAAGGGCAGGCTCGTTGGAGGATGCGGCGGCCACATTCACGTCACTAGTGTAAGGCATACGGCCACAAAATACAGATGGTTAGCAAGTTTTACCTTGATGCTTTCGTTTTTGGAAAACCGACACTAGCAGCCGACAAGAACTGAAGGTCAAAGCAAACGTTGGCCGAAATCATGGGCTCAAACAGTTAGAGTTTGGGACTGCCAACACACGCCAGTCACTCCCACAACTTCAGTTCAAGGCCGGAGAGCTCGAAAACATTGCTTTAAGGGACTACGACGGATTCATCCAAGCCCTGACTTGCTGCAGGAGCGTCCATCTCTTTTGTCTGCTCTCTCTCTCTCTCCCTCTTCCTCTCTCTCTACAGAAAGAGGAACGAAAAGGAAAAACATGAACGTAACACAAACACAAATAAGAAAGGCAAGTCTACCTCACTCTCTTTTCCCTCCATCCGTCCCTCGCGGATCCCTCCCTTTCTCGTGTCGCTTTTCCATAGAGGTCCTCCAGCTCCGCCTCGCTTCCTAAGGCACCAAAGCCGCCGAAGCGCTCTTTCAGGCGATCTGCCACGCCGCTCGCGCCTCACAAGTCATCGGCTGTTTGTCCGGACAAACCAAACTCTCTCAAGGAAGAATGAGATGAATGAAAAAATAACAAAAGAACCGTGAAAAGAAAGAGTTGATTAAAAGAAAAACAACAATGATGACAGTGAACCAGTAAAGCAGGAAAGGTCTCGAACACAGGACCTGTCCTATGATCTAATGTGACCTGTCCTGTCGGACGAGAACCACCAGCCTTCTGGCGCCATGTCTGCCAACGAGACCACCACCGGAGTCAAGTGGCCACCCTGAGTGCGAGGACACTCTTGCAGGGCTTGTGGATGCTGGAGGGTTGGTAGAGTTGAGGGAATGCAAAGCCGAATGGAAGAAGAGGAGTGTACGTCGGACATTTCAAGAACCACCAACCACACAGCGTGACTAAACTTTGCCGGTTCCAAATGATTGATCGGCAGACTGAGGGATCTTGTAGTCTTTGTGGGATATAAATATGTGTTGCCAATTTTTTTCTGATGATCATCATTGATAATCTGCCTTCATCTCCAAGCTGTCAGCCTTCCTGGCACCTCTCATCACAAAGGATGACAGCAGCTCCTGGCAGGGAACGAAGCGAAAACAGAAATTGGTCAGAGCGCTACAGTGCCCCAAGCCCAGTAGCACTCTGTTTTCAAAGGTGTCCAAATGTCTTTACAGAACAATTTCCCATTCACTATACAGTCAGAATCTATTTAAAAGACCTTCGGCAGGTGTTTGTGCAAAAAGAGGGAAAATGCAAACAGTTGGTTCTCAAATGTTCTGAGGAAGCCCTCGCAAAGTCTTAGCTCTGGCCTCACTGCAGTCCAAAGAATCATTGCTGAAGCGGAATAGCCTCACAGGTTTGGTCAAAAGGAAAGGAAAGAATTCGGACATATTAATAGGGAAAGCCCTTTTTGGTAGTAACAAGGGCATTACTACTAGTAGCAAGAAGCTACTAGGTGGAGGCCCTCGCTACTAGTAGTGACAAAGGGCATCGCTACTAGGAGCAAGGACTCTACTAGTAGCTCCTGGCATTACTACTAGGAGCAAGAAGCTTTCTAGTAACTAGAAGTGGCCTTACTACTAGGAGCAAGGACGCTACTAGGGGCTCCTGGCATTACTACTAGTAGCATTCTTACTACTAGTAACTAGAAGCTACTAGTTCAAAAGTTTCAGCCTCCCTATTTCGGCCATGTGAATCCCCTGCGCCTGGTACGTAAGTCGGTCTTGTAGCTTTCCTGACATGATTAGAAGCCAACCAAACCACAGGCTTGTAGCATAAGAAATGACACCAACTGCTAGCTGTTGCTCAAGCGTGTCACCAGGATGTCTATTCCCTTCACTGTACTGCCAGTTGCCAGTATGATTGTGCACGGTATCTATGCATGCCTCCAGAGTCTAGTGCTTTGGGCATTAAACATTGCAACGTCTATGGCCTATGGATTGACATGGTCCGATGCTCAGGTCCTCCACCAGGTCCAGCACTTCATCTGGCCCAGGAGTAAACTGCAGTCCAGAAAGTTTTGCTGCCCTGCCAATAGCTGGTTCCTTAGCGAAATGCATCAGCTTGAGGTCCATGTTGGTCTCCACTAACTATGTTCGGCGTTTGTGGTGGGTGGAACTCCAACCTCTGCAAAACGCAGCGCAGCAAGGATTATGCAGTCTTGCTTGACTGATGGCACAAACAAGAGTGAGCCATCTTAGACCAAACCGGCCAGTCTGAATGGCAAAAGCGCCGACCCGTGTGGCTCCAAAACCGCTCCAAGCTTCCAAGAAGTTCTCCCAGAGCTGCTCCGAGGCCAAACCACCCAGCCCACCGCTGCCTCAGAACCCACTGACACAGCCCTCTAGCCTTGGGATGCCTTTAAGCCCTAAACTTCAAACCAAAAAGAAAGTGTTGAAAGATGAAAGTTCTTTAAATAAGAAAACACATGTCTTTAACAAACAGGTGCCTTAACCTCCGTGGTAAGCGCGAGTTACGGCTAGGATTTCATGCCGTCAATCTAACGGCATCAAGCAGACATGCTGAAGAATGATTTGCAAAGTATCCAAAACAAAAAGTATGCAAAACCTTCTAAATCGTGCATCTCACCCTGCACTGTCTTCAAGACTTCTCGGAGCAGGCGGACCTCGAGTACATGTCGCTATAGTGAGTGGAGTCCCTTCCACCGGAGACAAGTCTCGGAAAAAAAAGGTGAGCCCACTGTATTTCCGCCCATAAAAAGTGTTTCTTGAGCTTCCAATGAAGTGCATGCAACGTTCTTCTTCCCGAAATGAACCGAAGTGATCTTCAATGCATTTCTTACCGCCCAGTGTTTTGTGTGCCAAGCTTTTGAAGTGAATGTCACCTGTCTGGCCTGGTCTTCGACTCCGAAGTTGTTGAAGGCCAAGAGAGCCACACCAGCGAGCATTGGATGTGGACGCTGGCATGATAGCAGGACCTGACTTGGGTGCTCCTTCATGCATTCACGTAGCTTCTCGAAATTGATCTACAGTTTCCAGACATGTTGATGCGAGGACTGTGCTTCCACCTTACAGCCTACTGGGTGTTGGATGACTCGATGCTGAAAACTCCTGCAAGGTCTAAATATAATACGACCTAGTTGGTCAAATACTGAGTCTCACACCTTTTGGTGAATCCATAGAGCTGGATAGATCAGGGTTTCAGGTGTTGATCTGACTCTTCTTCAGAGAATATCTAGTTTGAAGCTAAGCCTTTTTGTCAGAAGAGGTGAATAGCATCCAGCATGTTCCAGATCGGACCGATACACCTCAGCTATACAAGCCTTATGAAACAAAACTAGCGTGTGCTCTTCCTCACCTTAACTCCTGTATGCAAAGGAATGGGGCCTCAATTTGTCATCCGTATGTACACACATAAGATCACATAAGTCACATAAGCCTACAAGCAGATTCTATGCTCCTCACTTGTTCTTCCACTAGATGTCTCGTGTTTGCCAAAACCGATAGGAACGGCCTGCAATTTGGCGCCCAGGGAGTGGCCCATGGCCAGGCGAGGCATTCGGTCCTGCAATCGACATCCATAGACCAAGCTTCGGTCCGTTCAATTCTTTGCGTAGATAGTTTGCTGGAAATAAGAAACCTGTCTCAAGAATGTTTGGAAGGGTGGTGGCAAAGGCCTGTACATGAAAATGTCTGAAACTATCGAGACTGTACAAGGAGAGATGTAGATGAAACTCCGCATGGAATGAGTGAAGACTGAGAAGGGTCACCCTCTCAAAAAGTGCGGTGGTTAGTTGGCAGAAGCAGCAAGATCCCATCTTTTTGTCTCTCACTGTGTTACACATCCGATGTCTTGGGCAAGTGTGTCCTTGGCCCAACCAAATCGTTCCTCGCCCAGTTCAAACGCCTCTGCAAAGTCGGACGCGGCCTCGGCTGACAAGCAAACACCGTCTGCTGTTTTGAAGGATCGGAAGCGTGTCAATGTCACGAAGCAAAGGGCCAACAACATCCAACAATTGGGGTGCTTCATAATTTGGGCTTTCGTCTTTTTGCGAATTCTTCAGAAACGAGGTTGTGGAACAGTCTCTAATTGGATAATGTATGTCGTTCGCGATGCGAAGAACAACTCAAGGGAATTTGTGTCTGTGACTCAAAGGTCCAGGTAACTGAGTTTTGGAGCATCAATTCCAAGAACTATGCACAGGTGACAGTGGTATTCCATGTTTTAGCCAAGCTTCAACATCAGCTATCTCCTGATGATCTCTAGACAATTCGTATGGAGTGCAAATCACCTCAACTCGCGAAGATCTGCGCGGTTCTCCAACATTGAATGTTAGTGAAACATGATGAAACATGTACGGCTCTTGCCCTTCTGATCTAGTTGAACAAACACATCTTTGAACCAATCCATGGTCTCCGCTGGCATGGATCGATTGAACTTTGCAAACATGGTGGTGGTTGGAAAGCCAAGCACAAGAGACGAGCGAGAGGCGGATGCATTTTGGCAGGTTTGGTTGAATTCATTCTGATATGTCCCAATCAACTGCCAACAATGTGACTTATTATGAGTTATTGGCGCCCATCCTGCTATCATTTGCTGCTCTGCTTTCCTGTGCGTGTACCACAGCTACGGATAGAGGCATGGAGCCGGCGGGCTACGGTATGTCCCCAAACACGAAATATAGACAGCTTGGAGAACTGTCCTTGGGACGATGTTCATTGGGGGACCGTGGATGTTTTCTGCCGAGGGACTGCCATCCCAGTCTTGTCAACGAATGGCTGCAGCAAGGAGCTGTAGCAAAGCTCTGGAAATTGACCCAGCACAGCTCCTCCTCGCTCAGCGAAAGGAGCGAAAGGTTTTGAGGTCTAATTCCGACTCCAAAAACCGTGGGTGGGACCTTTTGGGGGTCAAAGTGGAGGGCCCTTGCCTTGAGGCGCCTCTGGCAACAGTATCGACAAGGCTCCAATGAAGTGGGTCACACCCCACGGGATGGAGTTCTCGGGCATCAGCACTTTAGCATTGCCCAGCTCCTGATCAGTCTCCAGATTTGCTTCTTTGGACTAACACAGTTTGACGCTATCTTAGGCAACTTTGCACCTTCTCTGGTCTTGGCTGAGTTCTGTGCTCATGTTGTTCTTTTTCGTCTCAGATCTTCGATCTTCGTTTGTCGTAGCAGTGGCGAGATCTGAACCGAATTTCTTTCTATTTCGACCGTTTCTGTTTCGACCTGTTTCGACCAAGTTTCGGGTCCTGCCACCGCTTGGCCGCTCGCTGCGCCGAGGTGGTCTTTGCCAACTCTTGAAGCTTCGAGCGTAGGACCAATGCAACAGGGCCACCGGCCTCGTGGGGCTCCACCCCAGCTAGACCCAGTTCCGGAGCCATCAGAATGAGGTCAAACTCGGCCAACATCTTCTTTGGGGCCGGGTCAAGCTTCGAAATTAATGCCCTTTGTGATATGGAAAAACATATATATCTAAAAGAACCGAAGAGAAATGACGAGACACTCAAAACGTGTCTCATGAATCACGGCACAAAGCGGAGCATTTGGCCCATACAACGGGGGGTTGCTTGGATCCAAAAGGGCGGACCTCATCTGCATCACGGTCACTGCTGAAGAGCATCACCTGCGCACAGCTTCAGGGCTTGCATCGGGCATCAAATTCAGCCGCTGGCGAAAATCATCTGAATGATATCATCTGTGCTCTCCTTGTCTTTAAAAGGCACATGCCTGACCAAAAGCTCGAGGATGAACCAAATCCATTTGATGGAATTGGAGGTCAAACTTGGCATTTGTAGCTCCCCAGCTATTGGTGTCCGAGTTGTGTTCGACGAGCCTCTTTTGGTCAAGCAACCTTAGGCTCCACCTCAAATGGACATGTCCTTGCTTTACCATTGTTGTTAAAGAGTGTTGAGGCAAGGGTTGCAAGGGTTGCAAATTGCAAGTATGACATCACACCATCCCTGAAAATCAAAATATGATGAGATACGAATCTTGCTAGATTATACTGAAGCTCAACTAGTAACTAGCAGCATTCACTTGGCATGTATGTTGCTGCGGAATGCTGCGGAGCGCAACGCCTTTCTTCGTGACTTTGAGCGTGCCAGTGCGGCAGTCATCGCCACTGATAGCATGGAGGCGACCCTAAGAAGCGCAGGAGGAGCTTCTGATGAGACATGTGAAGACCTGAAAAAAAGGCATGAAGCTTCGATACATTAGCGCTCCCACTCTGCCTGTTATGCAGTAGTACTAGTCATGATTGACCACTTTCAAGCAACGTAATTGCATCTACCGGTTCCTTGGGTCAGCCAACATGATATTGGCCGCGATCCAACGTCTTTCCAGTCAAAAGCTCAAGGATCCTAGCAAGAAGGATACCGCGTCCCACAGGCCTGTCAAAGCTTCTCTGTTCATTGTTTCTGCGCACGCACCGGCTACTGATGGGTGCAGGAGATATGGGTGCTGATGTCAGCTGCGCTGGCACTGCAAAGGTCAGCATGGCAGGGAAACACCGTCAACCGTCGCAGGACAAGCCAAGCAAGAGTTTATGACTTGGACCTTTTCTCAATGTGGTTGCAAATCTCCTTTGCCACTTCTGTGAAGTATCTAAAGCACAAATTGCTAGTGCTTCGTTTTTGCTGCTCTTAACTTTTCAGGTTTCATAAAGAAGCATGTCTGTTGTTCAACACCCTGTGGCAGGCTAGTGGTTCAGGTTTGGCTCTTCTTGCGTTTCCGTGGTTCAGCTTCATCTTGCTTGCTATGTTGAAGAGCCTCGGTGGCCGCCAGCTATGCAGAGCAGAGCACTCAGGGAAGAAGTATTCTGGTACCACCAGGGCCTTTTAATTGTGTCTGCTTTGGTGCAGTTGTCTCTCGTCTTTAGGGAGGATGCAAGCCTTGTCTCAGCCACAATAGGAGCAGCCCCTTACCACCGAACCATGCAACTTGCAGCTTAACCTGCTGGCCCTAGGAGCAAGGACGCTACTAGGGGCTCCTGGCATCGCTACTAGGAGCTCCTGGCCTTACTACTAGTAGCATTCTTACTTCTAGTAACTAGAAGCTACTAGGGAACCTGCTGGCCCGCAAATCGGACCCCCAACCTGCTCTTGTAGAATCGCCACTGCACGGCTCATGGCACGTACCTCAAAGCTCCACAGCTCTGTGAGCTTTGGGAATACGCGTTCGCAAAACGCCTCGCCATCACCAAACTCTAAAAGTGTTTGCTAAGCCGTTAAGCGTTGGTCCTTCCAAAGGTTTGCAGGATTTCTGTAATCACTCAGTGAGACTCTAACTAACGAGCCAATTAGTTGCTCAAGGACTCCGGCAGGAGGCCTGACTACGTCATGCGTTCTGTACACTTGGCACAATGTACCGCACAACTGCCTGCCAAACACATGCCTCAACCTGAAATGTGCGAATTCAGACCAAGAACCACTACCGTGGTCGTAAGATGAAGGACAGCATTCATGTAGTCAATACGTCTTTGATTCTAGCTGGAGGATTTGCATGGAGCAGTCAAAAAGGCAACACCTTGTCAGAGCTGCAGGGTCGCATCTTGTCGAAGCTCCCGAACGGCAGCGCCGCGGTCCTGCACTCAGCAGAAACGTCCAACAGTGCTTGGATCGCCACTTTCCATCGATCAAAGTAATAACTTTGCCGTTTTGCAAAATGCATTTAGTTTTAAGTGATTAGTTCTGGAACTTCCAGAGGATGTCCTACTGCAGTAAGACTTGTCTGATCGTTCAATTGTCCGAACTAACTGTATACTGTATACTGTATGTATATATATATATGTCTTTGTGATCCGCAATTCTTGCACTGAATGGCGCCTTCTCTAGCTGCAGGAGCTCGTTTAGACGTTGCCTGTGAAGGGGCTTTGTTCTGGACACGATATGAAAATACGGATGAAGACACACCAGGTCATCCAAGTTAAAAAGTACGATTCGATGATAAACTGGAACTGTCTCGGGGCTTATATACTTGGACAGGACGCTCCCGTTTCCGCAAATTCGGAGCGTTGACAACGCCAAGGATCCTAGGCTTCACATATTTCTAAATCGATTGATCTCACAGCGAGATGGAGCGGTTTTGGTGGATGAGCAACTCCCATTCCGAGCTCCATGGCCTGAATCTTGGCAACCTGAAAGAGCACAACTCACACAAACCCTCGAACCAAGGGGCAGACTCGGCTTGGCATTGCCATTGCCATAAGGAACGGCGGTCATCCTCGCCGCTTGCTGCACCAGTCACTTCAGGCTTGTTGAGAAGAGTCTAACGTCATTTGCATATTTTGCACCTTTACCTTCCTGCCCATTTCTATGAGTTTGAGAGTCCTCCCAACGCATCACCGAAACCGTCTCCTGGCCAGTCAGACTTGAAGATCATGGTATCGGCCTATGCCATGACTCATGACTGAATCTTGGATGGAGCTTCATGCACGATGCGAGCATATCATGCAGGGTGCAAGGCACTTCGTACCTTTCTGCAACTTCTAGTCAAACTTGGCACTCTCAAAGGCAAGCCTCCTTCAAGTAAAGACCCAGCTGTCCTCCCGACTCATCGGAGCAAGTCCAGCTGGCAAGTCCTCAGTCGGGATCTTCCAAGAGTGCCTTGTCGTCATGGTCAATTGCCCAAAAATTGCACACACACTCTCGCTCTCTCTCTCTCTCTCTCTGTCTTAGTATAAAGGCCATCGCTTCTAGGTTGGAGGCCATTGCTTAGGCTTTCTCTCACACTTTCTCTCTCTCTCTCTCTCTCTCGACGAAATGGCCAGAAACCCAATCCTGCAGGCCTCGCCGAGTATTAAAATCCCGCGGATATTATTCAATCAAACCAGTCCTACATTGGGTTTGAAGCCCAAACATGTTTTAGAATAAGGCCAACTACAAAATCAAATATTCTCCGCCATCAAGCAGAGTTTGCTTTCAATCATAGTTTTCTAGTAGGGCCAGCAGGAAGTGCGTGTTGATCTTCCTGCACTTGGGCTCGACTGAAGCATGGGATTGTTGTCATGCTGCCATCTTCACCGGCACACCCCACTGAACCACGGGATCAATTCGGGGGCATTAAAGAATCATGTTAATTATTCTGATGCAACTCAGGTCCTTCGGTGCACAAAAAGGATCAAATCTGGGACATGTGACATGGTATGAACCAAGAAAATGCTTCAAGTCCGGACAAACACTTCTTTACCCGTACCGCAGCTACGACGCCCCGCACCTGGAATTTCCTGGCAAAATGGCATCGTGCTAAGAATCTTTGCACGTCCGCATCAGTTAGCTCCTTGAAACATGCACATGCTCTAGGCCCCTAGGCTTGTCAAAATTTGACAGGCTTCAACCCCTGACCCAAGTTGCCAAGGTTTGCCAAGTATTTAAAAGACAGAGGCTTTGCTGTCAAAACACTGCCTACTCTCACAGCTAGAGACTTAGAGCGCCTGCAATCTACGTCCTCTATACAGCCTTCAAACCTGAGGCTCGCTCAGGAGGCCATCGCTCGTAGGTTGGAAGCTATTAGGTTGGAGGCCATTCTTCATTCTGCAGCCTTTAAACCTGTGAGGCTCGCCAGGCTCGCTTAACCAGGCCAGGTCGACACTGGTGGACGGGAGCGGCCAGTCGAAGGGGTCTTCCTGCGACTTTGTCGAAGGGAAGAAGCAGTGATGAGTGGGTTATAGACCCGTGGCAACAAAAAGCAAAGCTGGTGAACCACGTGTATCTTTCGACGCTCAAAAATACAAATAGGATTCAAACATGTGTGAAAACATATAAAAACATCAAGTTATGCGTGCGCTGGCAAACATCCACAAACGAATGTACTCTTCAGCTTTGGTCGATTGCAGGAGACGTTAAGCCAGCAGTGGGCACTGCGAAGTTTCAAAGTGAATAGGAGGCCTGAATTGGCTGGAAGGGTCAACAATCAGACGATGCACGGTTGCAATAATGGCAAGCTTCTCTACATGGTGTGGGTGTGGCAACTGGATGTGACTGGATACGCAAATGAACTTGGCACCCGTGCAAACCCCTGGAGCTTTCACCTGTCACAGCCCGAGAGACCGCTCCGAACTGCCGAAACATACTGCCGAAACGGGAATGAAAGAAACGAAACGTCTATGCCATTCTATGCCTGAACCGTACAACGGAGCGTTGAAGATCATGCACATAGTCACATAGGTCACATCAAGGCCGGACTAAAGGAGCTATTAGGTTGGAGGCCATCGCTTTATTTTTGATCCGTTCAACCTAAACCTTGTGCCATGTCTGAAGCTCTGATCCTTCACCTGGCGTCCCCAGGGTTATGGGCTCCAAGTCACCATGACCTGCCAGGAGATCATAGATGGCTGATTGAAGGGTCTGATACTCGAAAAAATGTACTGAAAGACTTTAAAAGAGTTCTTATTCATGTGCAGCCATTGAGTCATGTGTTGTTTGTCACAAAGTTGTTTGCAATGCAATGGCTTTGGATATATTCGCATTTTCAGAAGGTTTGCTGCTCTCAATGTATGTCTAGGGTGTGCTGTCAACCTTCCAAGACATGTGGAGGCAGACCACCCCAAGGCTGCAAACTCATCGCAGCGGCCCCGGCGCTTGGCTTGGGAGCTTTGCCCAAGCCAGTTGGTTTAGCTTTTGTTGGGTGGGCTCATGGAACATCCCAAACCATCCCAAAACCGAAACTCAGAAACAACTTGCAACGCATAACGGATGGATCCGAGATGATCTAAGTAGTATATTGATTACTCTATAAAGGTCCGACCCAACTCTCGTGGCCCCAACGAGGGCAACATTTTTCACGGGTGCAGTCTGTCAGTGGTTTCCAGGATCAATAGGCCAAAGAGCCGGATGGCTGACAAAATGGCCAACAAAAAGCCAAAGTACTACCCCTCTTGGAGTCACATTCGCAGGTCTGGGCTGATTTCAAGACCAAAGCCGATCGCTGCTCTCGCACTTTCGGATTTAATTTGCCACGCGACAGCCATGTCACCCATGAATTAATTACTTCCTCCCCACTGAGGGAAGCGCGCGCGCGGATGCTTGGCCCCTTGGGCGGGCATCTCACGTGCCTTTAGGCAGGCGCCAAATAATGACCTAACACAACAGATCGAGTGGAAGCCACGATCCCAAAAGTACTCCTTCAGTGAGCTTCATAGTCCTGAAAGCTTTAGTTTGCCCTGGCTGAGATTCAGGAAACTCATGCACTCTTGATCATCTCATCATGAATGACTACCCTTGCCGATTCACAAAGGAGTTTCTACGGGTTTCCTACCATGTCATCGCTGGCGATTTTGCCAGCGATGTGTTGAGCCGAGCTGCGGCTTCTGAGAAGCACCCGCCGCTCGCTAACACGTTGGCTCGCATCAAGCGACGGATGGCACTGAAGGCACCAACAGGTGCAACGGGTCACTGTACTGACCCGTCTGGTCCGTCGTCCAATGAATTCGGAGATGATTCCATTTCAGGGACCTTGACAACCAAGGTGTAAACAGTGTGGAAATGTGTGGAACTGGTATTGGCAACGTTAGCGGTCATGGCTTCCTCTTCAAAGCATCTACAA